ATAGATTACGATGCGTATGTGTGTGTGTGTCTACATGTATGTATAAGCAGACATATATATATATATGTATATATATTTCATTCATGCACACATACATACTTGTTGACATTATATTCACTGACTTGCGATCCGTGACTTGACATGACCCTAGTTCCCTGCAATGCTCAGCGCTGGACACTGCTCAAGGCACCAGAGGCGTCGTAGCAAGGTGTCAGGAAGTAGATCTGATGATGGGGGGGCAAGGGGTTCATACCTCTTCGTCACCATTCGTGGCAGGCCACTACGTACCAACAAGTGCGGCGAATAACAAAAAATGAGGATGTGAGGGCGTAACTAGGCTGGAGCTCGGATCTGTGTGGGTCTCCCTGAAAAACAGGCACGAAGGTTCTGGCAAGGGAAGGCATAGATGTGAGAAGCCATCTGGGTCTAGATAGACAAGAACGGCGCATCATGGCTGGTAGCCAATATTTCGAGTGTACATGCTTGGAAGCCTTCAACACGGCAGCTGCCATGAATGTTGCTGATTACATGTCAATGTGAGGTCGCCGCGTGCTCTGGCCCAACGACACGAAATACTACGATACCTCAAGCTCTGTGGCTTTGCGCAAGGGCTCAGGAGGTTGTGCACCCTATTACAACCTCACACCAACTGACACTTGCAGCTAGGGCCAACACTATCACAAGCTGAGACTCCAAGGCATCCGAAACTCCCAAGCCCGGAGAACATTATCTGATTCATACTGACCTCTTCAGCCTCAATCCAAATAAACCCTCTAGAAATCCACGACCCTAAAGCTCAAACCTGAAATCCTGAGATCTGCACCATCATGATCGGCAGTAGCCACGGCAGAACCCACTTCCTGGGAAGCGCGGATACTCTGATGCCCCGAACAATTCTACTGAACAGGTGATTTTTTGCCTTGAACTACACAGGTTACTCTCAGGGCCACTTATGACGGCTACGATAAGGCTTCCAGGGTGCAGGGTTTTAGTATAGGGACAGGGCGCAGTCCTAGAGAAGTCCGTGGGCGACAGCTGAAGGACATCAAACCGTCGGTAGTGCGATACATGTCGAACTCCTTGCAAGCACCCCGATGCAAAGACTTGAAATGGCAGAACCCCAAGCTGCGCTACACGAACTGTCGAACTTTAAAACGGATGATGACGATCTGCCTTGTTAGCGGAATCCTTATGATTGTGACAATGGTTCTAAGTGATTGTGTTTTGTCTTGTGAAGTCTCTCTAAGCGCATGCAAGTCTAAGCCCCCAAAATAACGCCTAACACACAGATTCGACCCAAATCCACCTCGCCCTTCTCTTGCGCCGGTTGCCGGCAAGGTTTTCTGCGGATCCCCGGACTTCCCGCGGCTTCGGCGCCAGACAACTCTGAAGCTCTCGGACTATGCTCAACGCTCCTCCTCCTACTACTTCTGTGACAGCCGAACATAGCCAGCACTGGTGTTTACCTGCTTAGACTACCAGTCTTGCCCAGATGACGGCCACATAACACATAACCTAAAGACCTTATGGTGCCAACCAACTTTTCGTGAGAGTAAGTATATATATTCAGCCAGTGCTGCCACGGGAAGGGGGATGTGAGACTGAAGAGAAAGGTTCACAATATCGGGTCCCTCCGGAACAGGCCGACAAAGTCAGAACAGCCAACTGGAGCATCTGTATCCACAACGATGGTGGGGCACAGTGATTGTTTCACATTCGGCTGCTTACGAAGCATGGACCAGGATGTGAAGATCTCAAACTACACCGGGTGCATTTGTCTCCCACTAAAGCCGAGACGATGAGGCAGCGGCACAGACTTGACCACATAACCACAGTATCCCTTCTCGTTTGTAATTTGCCTTGGCTATGAGTTACAGGGGATAGGGCCACTCACCGCAACCTCATTCGTCTCACTCAAAGCCGCGACCTGTTCAGTGGTACTCAGCATTGCTCAGCAGGAGGTCGTGTAGATAAACCCCAGCTCCTGCGCTCAAAGGATGAGTTGGAGCGCTCCGGCATCGACTACTTACCCTTCCCCGGAATGGAAACTGCTGTATCGTCGTCGTGACAGTCGCCGTCCATCCACATGGTAACTGTAAATTGGCTGCATGTGTCCATGGTAGCACAGGAAAGCAGCAGCAATAGCACTACACCCGATCAACAGCGCTAATCCTAATTCTTGCCAGCCCATGCTGCCCGGGCTCCCGGTCCAGAATTCCACATCCCATGCAAAACTCTGATCCGCCAAACTAGTTCCTGACAACCAACACCCAGTAAGACCTGGCAAGACCCTGAAGCCCGGAAAACAAATAATAATCACCCTAGGAATAAAAAACGAAACCCGAGCCCGAGGCCCTGTGGATCTGCCAACCACAAGTGTATGCTTCCTAGCTTGCTGCAGAACGCCCAGACAGAATGCAAATGCAACCTTAAATCCACGAACAAATCCACACCTGGGACCTGAAGCCTCATAAGCTGGGTGTATATATATATATATATACATATATATATATATATTAAACTTAGATACATGCATACATAGATATAACTATATAGACAGAACCCTCAATCTTACAGGAGACTAGAAGGCTTGAGGGATATCGTCCAGAATCCCTAATTTCTCTTCTCAGCCACAAGTCGCCCAGTAAACCCTAAACCCATGAGCCGAGGAAACCCGTGATCCCGATCAGCGCCAGGCGTCATGGAAACCCTACGATCCCTCATCTCTATGAAACTCTGATTGTGGCCCCGCCTCCACGAGGCCAGAAACTCAAAACCTACGGCCCAGCCTCCATGAGGCTCTCTTGCATCCAGGACTCTCGCAACCAGCCGGGAAACTCCACATGAGGCTCTCTCTAAACCCTGTAAGTTCCACCTGGAACCTAGAAGACCCTACGATATTTAGGGCCCCTTATTATGATTGCCTCTGCCGATCCCTTAAAAAGGTTAAGTTTTCGCTGCTAAAGGTAGTCCCTGTTCTTCAGCCAGCCCAGCCCGGCCGAGCCTCCAGAAGGATAAACTCTAAACCCTTTACTCTGAACCCCTAAGCCCCAAATCTCTAAACCTTAAGCCCCCAAACCCCAAATCCCTAAACCCAAACCCCTATAGTCCCTGAAGCCTAAACCTCTGCCTAAACCCCTAAACCCCTAATTACACCCCTATACCCCTAAAGCCTACAGTAAAGTTGCGAGCCTCCATGAGGCTATCGTGGCGCAGCATCCGCGCGATCTCAAAGTGGCCGCCGGAGGCCGCAGCTTCCGCGGGATCCCAGGCACTCCTAAGATTCGGCTTTACACTCTCACAACTCGGACAAGCCAGGCGAGGATCCATGTTCGACAGTCGGCGTGAAAACATTGGAACTCGGCATGCCTGCAACCGATTCGGCTTTAAGGGTTTAGGGTTTGTAGGGGTCTAGGGTGTCAGCACTCAGAAAGGGGTTTAGGGCTTGGAGGTTCAGGGTTCACAGAGGTTCAGGGTTAAGGGGTTTAGAAATCAGGGGTTTGGGGGCCTTTTTCCCTCCTAAGGGCTTAGGGTTTAGGGTTAGTAGCTTAGCATGGTTCGGTTTTGGGTTTTTCTTAGGGTTTCGGGTTGGGGGGATGGCTGAAGGGCCTGAATAATTGGAACAGGGTCTTGGGGCATGTTATGATAACATATTAAGCAAAAAAGCATCGGTAGCCCTCATGTGCAAGTCTTTTAGCCCCTTATACTATAATTACCAAAACCCAACAGGCCTAAAACTCGGACAAACGCCAACAAGGGTCATCGAAGAGTTGCGGATGTTGGCGGAAGCTTCCACAAGCCTGCGAGCGCAGTGATGTCCCCTATCCTTCGAAATTCAAGCCTGCTTGCTATAGACTGCATGCAAACACACACGCACACTCTCTCACTCACCATGTGCATCTATCCTATTTACGTAGCTACCTGTCTACCTATCTACCTTCCTCTCCCTCCCTCAACTCCCTCCCTACCGATACCTACCTACACCCTATCCGACCTGCCTACCCTGCCTACCTTCCTGTCGGTCGATCGCTCCTTCTATTTACCTGTCTACCGACCTATCAATCCATCCATCTATCTATCTCGCCTTTAGTTATCAATAAACGAATCATTAAACCTATCGAACATCCATGCGTACGTGCAGGACTGCCTGTTTGCATATACATATATATATACACACACACACACACTTAAACGCACATGCAGACAGACAGACGGACAGACAGACAGGCAGGCAGACAGAGGTACATACGTGCATGCATGCGTATATACATGCAGTCTTTCTGTCAGTATGCATGTGTGTGCGCTCTGTGTGTATATGTGTGTATATATATATATATATGTGTGTGTGTATATGCATGTATGTATGTATGTATGTATGTATGTATGTATGTATGTCTGCATGCATGTATGTATGTATGTATGTATGTGTACACATGTTTGCGTGTGTATCTCTACCTCTCTATCTATCTATCTATCTATCTATCTATCTATCTATCTATCTCTCTATCTATCTACCTATCTATCTATCTATCTAACTGTCTATCTACCTATCTGTTCATCTATCTATCTATCGATCTATCTGTCCACATGTCTCCGGTTTTTCTAACAATAAAGGGATGGCTTGTGTTGGCCTATAGTATACGGCTTACAAACTAACGTGTCGCGGATTTGCTTTGCGGGTCGTGGCTGGCATGTTGTGCCGGGCCTGCAAACAATGTCATAGTGGCCTGCCGCCGCTGCACTTGACAGGGCTGTACCGCGTATGCAGACCTCAGGATCCACGTTCGACAAATACATCTGCGGCTTATACTTTCGGAACACAGCCCCGTGATTGCAAAAACAGACGCCTCTAGCAGATTCCTGCCTTGTCGACGTCGGCTGCAGCCGCAAGAAGAGCATTAACAACCTGAAGGCGATCGCTGAAGCCCGACAAATTTACAAACCCTACATCGACACTCAAAGGACCTGTCCCGCAAGTTCGCATCTCCGAGTAAACATAGTAAACGACCCTGCAAGCATCTGGAAATGCAAGGACAGCAAGGTCTTGCCTTGTTCCGGGATTCACGGCCCCTGATCATCCTCTTATGATCTGCTAGATGTACTAGCACCGTTATGACGGGACAAGCACCGGTGAGCCCAACAACGGGTATGAATCATCAAGGCGCCTCCAAGTGCCCCGCGGAAGAAGCAGCAACCAAGGCTGTGCCGGAGATGTTCGTCCTTGGACAGTCTACTTGGGGGTTCATGGGTAGTTATAAGTGGGGTTATACGTCCCCTAATATGGGTTATAAGTATAGTTACCCTACTTATAACCTCACTTATAACCTCCAAGTACAGTCTACATGTACACAGCTAAGCCCTGTTCTATTCATGCGCCCACCAGTCGGAAGCATGTGCGTGCTGCGGCAGAAAGCCCTGGATGATGAACGTCACAGCTCCACTCACCAGGACACTGTTACGAATCCTCCGATGAATATACCGTGACATGAGCCAAGTATCCAGCGCAATCAGACATTGGCACGTTTACCGCTTACATGCTTAACCACGTCAACCCAATGAGACATTTACACGCCAGGCGGACGGAAACTAATCTGAGCTCTCCAAGGCTCCTGTTCACGTCTGCAGTGTGAGAGACCAGCAGCCCGACAACCTGCTCTTCAGATTGGTAATGGTCTTAATGGTCAGATTATTATCAGAAATGGTGTTTCTACCAATATATATATATATATATATTTATATTCATATTTATTTATGTATATTTATATTAGCATTAGTAGTATAGTAATAAGAAATAGTGCTAGTATGGTTCTTCTTATTAATGTTCGTAATAAGGGACAACCTGATGGATACGTGCTTAAGCCTAGGTTTTAATTCCGCGGTCTACATACCTTATAAATACCTTAAATTAAGGCTTCAGCTTCACGCCGAGTTTCGGACAGAGGCTGTGGGTTGAAAGTGCAGCGGTTCGTTGTTTGATCTGAGGCAAGGTCTCGCAGGGTCTCTTGCGAAGGTCCCGCATCTTAGACGGAACCCCACGTAGCCGAGCTGCGACGCTTTCTGCTACAGACCGAACTTCGAACTCTTTGTCCGGCGGTGCATGGAAGCGATCGCCGGAAGCTCCACACTTATGTCAATGACCTTTCATACCGCGGCTAAAAAACAAGTACCTACGGCCGAAGCATCTTTGCACAGCGGTTGGCACCTGCAGCTCACATCGCACCTTATTAGTCTGAAAGTTGAGATGAGGCACAAGACCGGAATACCACCTTGTTCCGACTTATTCCCTGACTCTTACAAGCTTCTCAAGCTTCCGGAGCCTTCTCGTGACCCGCACCCGCAGCCGCGACCAAGGGCGTGCCACTCTGGCAGTCAAGGTTGCAGTCCTGATTGGAAACTTACAGAGTTCAAGGTTTAGGGTATTTGGAGGTTTCAGAAAATAGGAAGCACAGCTCCTCATGCAGGAATCCTCATACATGCGTTACGGTTTGGATGTAGAATTTGTCCGCTGCATTTTCCTACTCCCGAAGCTGCTCTATGGAACGTTGACGCTGTCACGTTGCACAAAGGAATCTCTAGAGTTCCGGACAGCAAAAGTATTTAGTGAATCGAAAGAGCCTGCAGTGCCTGTAGAACGTCACCAAACCCTAACGCCTACAGTGTCTACAGCTTCCCCGAACGCAGCCTTGACACGTTGGGGGTGATGGTCGTGCGCAAGCTCGGCGCCGATTTATTTTAATATTTTTCTACGACTTCACGCGTATTGGATGGCACTCTGAAGTATGGGGCT